GCCAAAATAAAATATCTTTCACTTAGAATTTGTTATGTTTTAAGAAATTATTGGAGTGTTAGTAGCATGTCATGTATGATGATCCTTGGCTTTGTTTTATTTCAATTTTGATCATATGCTGAGCCTTGGTGTTAGTGTTCTGTAGTTGTTATCATGCTCTGTTGTGTGTGTGCGTGTTGGTGAGGATAATTGTTGAAATTCTGGTTTAAGGTATTTTGCTGATAAATACTTAATTTGATTGTTTGATTTTGTAGAGTTCTGTACAAATAAGATGTTGCGGGCTATGTCAAACCTTAGGATTTTAGTGTGCTCATGCGTATTTGCTTATGTGAATTATGTAGTATGCTAATTCATGTTGCTGTGGAAATGGTGAATCATAATGAATTCATGAACAACATATTTTAGATACTGCATAGTGGTAAAACATGTTTAGCCTCGGTTTGTATGTTGATGTTATGTTGGCTTCAAATGATTTCCTTGTTTAGCATTTGTGTGAGATTTTTCATGCTGAGATTGAGTATGTTCAGAGCTTTCAATTCTATTTTGAATTCTCTGTGAAATTTAAAGAAAATTGAGAAAAGAGATGAGGAAAGAAATGAGTGTTTTCAATTCTATTTTGAATTCTATTTTTAAATTCTCTGTGACTGAGTGTTTTATGTTCAGCTGTACGGATTTTGATTGGCTTATGTAGCTTAATTCAATTGAATCAAAACCTTAATGATAATTAAATCCCTAATTTTTAGGTTTGAGGAGTCGAGCCTTCGACCTACGTTCTTCAGCTTGTGTGTAATGGCAAACCCGACTTCCGGGTGGGTGTTGATAAACTTACCATGTATGTTAATTTTTATAAATGTTTGGCTTGATAATTAATATATGTATATGAATCACTAGTCTTCGAGAGTGTATCTCCCGGTGGACGGTTCTCCTAGTTGTGCCTAATGAGAGTGTATCTCCCATTGTTGGACAGTTTAGCTCCCGTTGTTGGACGGTTAGATGTGATCACATGAGCGTAGGGCGGTATAGGAGGTAGACTAGATGATTATGTTCATACTACGATTATGATTTTAAGTCTTTATATTGATTATACTGCATGATATTCCCACGCTGAGCTAGTTGTTTGCTCACTCCCACTATTAATCCTCTTTTTAGGTTGAGCTGGTGGCCGTGGCGAAAGACGAACGAGGCGGGGTCATTATTTGACTTTGAACTGCTAGTTACCTGCTTCCGCTTATTTTTTATTATAAATTCTCATTGTCGAACATGCTCATTATTGCTATTGGTATTCGGACCTTGTTAGATTATTTTATTTTGAGATTATTATGCATTCTTTTGGATATTTGTTTTGGAAATCGGACCATGTAATTGATGATTATTCCTGTTTAAATTTGAGTTGGGATTATGAATATGTTTGAATGATTATTGAGATCTATTAATTGTTGAGGCATGTTGAATGTTGACATGAGATAAATGTTCGGGATGGTTGATTTCCCGTTTGGTTAAGTGTGGACTTAACTGTTGATATGTGAAATTGGAGTAGCGCATGTTAAATAAATTTTTAAATTGGTTTTTGAAAAATTAACTCTGATTTTTGGAAAAATAAATTGATATTTTTCATTTAAAAATAACGGGGCGTTACAACAACAATCTCCACGAGGCTAATGTACGATTCTTTAGTCTTTTGACATCAAAATAGCGATTACACCTTCTGCAATCATCAAAAGATGTCACAAAAGTCACAAAAATTTTGTGTGAATCTTCGCTCTTTTATCTATATAGCTTACTCATTGCATTATTGGTGTATAAGTTGCATTATTATGCTATAATTCTATATCTTGTTGGAAAGGTATTACACGTGCTTGTTTTGTAGATATTTTCACATATTTGTAGAGCTTTTGGCTACTGGAGGCGCATGGTGAGTACCTAAGACCCCTGGAATGATGAAAGATTGATGCACGGATGAAAAAAATGGAAGAAATGCGTGAAACGAGCAAAAATGAGAGTGCAGATTTGTGACACGGGCATCATGCCCGTATCGGAGGCCGTGTCACCTCAACAGAGATATTTTGAAGCCCAGGGACCTGACACGGGCTTCGACACGCACGGGCAGAGTGGCGTGTCGCGCGCGCAGGCTGCTTTTTATTTCTTGCCTATTTTGAAAAGGAGAAGGGTTTTGGGACATTATAAAAGGTATATTTAGCCAATTTTGAGAAGAGAGGACTTGAGATCACAAGGGAGAGGAGCCCTAGAACACACAAGAGAAGTAATTGGGAAGCAAAAAGAAGATCCAACTACGAAGGAATCAAGGAGATTGAGAGATCAACGAGATTTTTCTTTCTTCTTTCTTTTGAACTTTTATTTATCATGTCGATTTCTAATATATCTATGTATTTGAATTCGAACATTAGTGGCTGGATTATTTGATTCTAAGACTTGGTAGTAGATTAATATGTTGGGATTTTGGATGAATTATTCTAATTGATTGTTTTCTTTTGAACCCTATTCAAATATTTTGTTTTCATTTCATGTTTAACACTTGATCAATGCTTTTACATGTTTGACAATATTGTTCATAATTCGAGAGATGAGTTCAATATTAGGTCTTTAATATTTGACACAATATACTTGCTTGAATCGAGAGATTAGTAGGTCGTTGTGAGGATATTAGATCTTTTAATCTATTTGGAGTTGAATTGCATGTGTTTAGTGGAGACGCTAATATATGTGATTTAATTGATGATTTTATCGATTTCGAGAGGGACGATAAGCTAAATTTGTTATCATCTTATAGGGGAGATAAAAAAAACATTAGTTGTGATATTTTTTAAGGAACTCAACTATGAATTGAAACCACAGTCTTAGAATCTATCATTCTCATATATTTTCTTACGTGTTTTTCAAGCTAGTTCTTTGTTTTTGATTTATTATATTTCGATTATATTTTCTTAGTTTAGTTAATCCATCTCCTATTCGATCGTCTAAAGAAAGTTGACACTATCACAATCTTGTACTTAATATATTAATTAGTTGGTCTCTAGGGATACGACCTTACTTGCTACATACTACGAGCGAAGCCGTACACTTGCGATCGAGCTTTAAAAATATAGGCGAATAGTAGACTCAACATAGACAATAAATGCAATAATTAACAAAAAAATTATATGACGTCAGATGGGTTTGAAACTGATATGGGATATTATATAGTTAAAGAATAGACCGGTTTACCGCACTGGTCGGACAAGCTCGAGGTAGAGAAAACTGTGTCGATCGAGGGATAATCGACCGAAAGGGAAAAGATCGAGCAGAATAGCAGAACTGGTCGAGAATCGACCTAGCGATGGGGGACTCGGTCAGATCGAGCACTCAGCAGGGGAAGAACAGTCGAGAGCGTGGCTTGGACGTGAGAAAGCGCGTGGGCGGCGTTAGAAGATCCTAACGGGATGCGCAGAGAATAATCTTCCTCGGCCCAGAGGGACACGTGGCGAGAGTACATTGGTGCAGCGCAATAGTGGTGATAACCACCTCTGACGCCTCTGACACACGCACACTGTGTGTGTACAGACGGGCAGTACGGGCAGGATAGCTCATCAGATCCGGACAGCTCCTAGGGCAGGTACCTCACTCCTATATATATATATATATAGGAGTGAGTCTTTTCTTGGGACTTACGATTTATCCATTACAGATTTTGGAGAATTGAGTAAAATATACACTGACTTAAGCATTGGAGGCTCTTCACTGGAAAACCCCTGCGGTGTGAGAGTTCTGTGCAGGTGCGCGGCGTTCTACCGGCGAGGAGGAGGAAGGCGAGCCTATTTCAAGCCGGTCGGAGTGTTTTGTGTTACCAGAAACATTTATGTAATTGTATATAACTATTCTATTCGTTAATATATGTGATAATCTAATTATTAATACATCAAAACCCATTACAGAGAATCATGAAATTAAGAAACTTGAAAAAATATATAAAAATTAACAAATATAAATATTAAATCACTAAATATGTAAAAAATAGTTATTAAATACTATTTTATATTTTATTTATATTATTTTTCGTGCATCAGAAATCTCAATGTTCAGTTTATGGCGTAATCATGTATTTGTTTCATGTGTGATTAATAAAAAAAATCAAAAGAATTAATTTATGATATTTTTTTTTTTCAAACGACAGAAACTATATCTCATTCCACAAGAATAATAGGTACAAAGCGGCCAAAAACCGAGTCATACAAACTGAGAGGACATACACGTACAAGTGACGCCTAAACCGACCAACCCAAACTACCCAAAATAAAAATAGCAAAATAAACTACATGAAGCAATTCTAAGATCTAATGCCAAACCAGAAAGGGATCACCAAAGCAAACCATCACATACAACCACACAAGCACATCTAGAACCAGTCACACAGCTTAAAGACTCAACACAGGGAAGCAACAGAAATGAAACAGCAAGTCAAGAAGACAAAACCCACTGACACTAGACCTAGGCTAATCTCAACAACTTCTGCTCAATTCTCCAGTGCCTCCCCTTTAAAATCCAACTAGTCTCTAACTGCTGCTTTAAGGATCTCCCTCTCTGGTTGCCAAGTCTGCTCAAAAATCCAGAGATTGCGTGCCCTCCATAACCACCATAAAATGTATGTGGTCAATTGTATGCGATCTTCAGAAACATCATCCACACTTATAGAGCTAAGCCACCACCACCAATTTTTGAAAGGGAAATTCTCTTCTGGCATTTTACTCCAACTCACAGGTGCTAATCTCCATATTAATTTAGCTCTACTACACTGAAACAGCATATGCTCCTGAGATTTAGTACCTTCTCCACACAAAGTGCAATCTGAGTTGATATCCAAGCCCCTCCTCTGCAAGTTCCCTTTAACAGGCAGGATGTTATTAAAACATCTCCATATAAAGTGCTTGACCTTGGGCAGAATTTTCAATTTCCAACACCTATTTCTAGCCCTACAATTTCCCACAGCCATCTTGCTACTTTCTGGTTCAGAAACCAGACAAATCTTCTCATTAAGCATAGAAACATAAGCAGCATGAACTGAAAATTTCCCCTTCACAGAGAAAGTACACAACCATAAATCCTCACCACTTGGATTCAGACCTCTGATATTCAAGATTTCAGTAGCATCTCTATCATGAAACAGAATTTTGACAAGATTCTCATCCCAGCACAGACCACCATTACAGAGAAGATCATTCACCTTAAACAGAGAGGAATCAATATTGACCTTTAGAGCAGGCTTACCCCCATTCAACCCAGGAACCCAATGGTAGTCATCAATGCTTGTATTGGCTCCATTCCTGATTATGACCTTAACCTTCTTCTGCAGCAAAAGTATAAGTCCAGCCCAAGTGTTCCATAGCCAAGAGGCACCTTGTGCTTTTTTTGCCTCAAAAATAGAAGTGAAGTGAAAATATTTATGTTTAAGTACTTGACTCACCAGTAGCTTCTTTTGAGAACAAATCCTCCATATCTGCTTCAGAATGAGTGCCTTGTTCATAATAAATATGTCTTGAAAACCAAGTCCTCCAGCATCTTTTGGTAAAGATAACTTGTCCCAAGCCTTCCAGTGCATACCCGGGCTTTGCAAATCCCCTTTGCTCCACCAGAATTTAGCTATCAATTTGCTAATCTCTCTGCATACCCCACCTGGTAACATAAAGCAGGACATGACAAAAATTGGAAGTGCATTTAGGGCAGCCTTAATCAACACTTCTCTGCCAGCCATAGATAAAAATTTATTAGTCCAACTCCCAATTCTGTTACTCACAGCATCAATAACAAATTGAAAGGTATCCCTCTTAGAAGCAGCTATCCCCAAAGGCAACCCCAGGCTTAGATGATCTCTTAACCACAGCACCTCTAAGGATAGAACACAAACTTGTTTTCACAGTATCAGTGCAATTTTTACTCAAGAATAATGAAGATTTTTGCAGATTGACTTTTTGACCAGTAAAACTCTTATATTTCTGCAATACCTCCAAAATAGACTGAACATGCCACACATCAGCTTTGCAAAACACCAAAGCATCATCAACAAATAAAAGGTGTGTTATCATAGGCCCATGCTTTGACACTTTAACCCCTCTAAACACCCCATTTCTAACTTTCTGATTAATGAGAGCAGAAAAGACCTCAGAGACCAACAGGAATAGATAAGGGGATAGAGGGTCCCCTTGTCTAATCCCTCTGGTTGGTGTTACAAACCCACAGATACTTCCATTCACATTAAAAGAAAAAGAAGATGAAGATAAGCAAGCAAAAATCCACTTGATAAACAGGGCATTGAAACCCATTTTAAACATAATTCTTCTGATGCTATCCCATTCCACTCTATCATACGCTTTCTCCATATCCAATTTCAGAGCAAGAAACATATTAGGGCCAGATCTAGGCCGGTTAAGAAAATGAAAAACTTCATGTGCTATTATCACATTATCCCGCAGTAATCTCCCAGGAATAAAAGCATTCTGCTCAGGGCTAATACACTCATTTAGACACTCTTTCAATCTATTAGCCAGTAACTTAGCAATGATTTTGTACAGAGTGCCACACAAACTAATAGGTCTATAATTAGATAAAGAAGTTGGGTATAGACATTTAGGTATCAAGGTTACAATTGTATGGTTCCAATTTTTCAATAACACCCCAGAGGAGAAAAAAGACTTAATGGCATTACACACATCTTTAGAAATCAAGTGCCAAAAATGTTGAAAGAAAGATGCATTCATACCATCTTCACCCGGTGTTTTGTCAGGAGGTAAGTTGAAAACCACTCCCTTTATCTCTTCATCCTCAATAGGCCTGATGAGCATAGTATTCATATCATCAGAGATGGAGTGAGTGATATGTTGCAGACAATAATTCCCCTCCTGAGAACCCTCAGAGGTAAAGAGATCAGAATAAAAGTCTGTGACATGATTGACCAGAGCCTCCTCACCCTCACACCTTTCCCCTGTCTGTGTAATTAAGCAATTTATAGTATTTCTCCTTCTTCTCTGAGCCACAGTAGCATGGAAAAACTCAGCTTTCATCCACATTGCTCTAGATTTCATCCTCCAAAAACTCTCCTCTTCTTTGAAAGCTTTGTCTAGGTCAGCTTTGGTAATATCCAAGTCCTCCCAGTTTCGATTACCCCCCTCCCCTCTCATCCCCTCAAGCTTCAAAGTCAGTTTTCGAATTGCTTCCTCAGAGTTCCTTTTCAGCGGTTTCCTCCATTCCATCAAAGCCATCCTTGCGGCCTTCACCTTCTGATGTACCTGGTACATAGGTGTGCCATCCATCTGGGTAGACCACCCTCTTTCAACAGCTTGGTTTACTCCTTCCATCTTAGCCCAGCTACCATCAAATAAGAACCTTTTCTTATTAAAAACTGCTGCTTTATCAGTATTCAACAGCAAAACATTATGATCTGATGCACATCTGAAGAAATTTGATACTTCCATCTGAGGGAATCTACTAGACCATTCCAACGATGTAAAAACTTTGTCCAGCCTTTCCTCAACATAACCCTCAGCATCTCTATTATTTCCCCAAGTGAAAAAAGCCCCTTTCTGCTCAGCCTCTTGCATCCCCATTCTCATAATGAAATCCCTGAATCCCATAAAGCTAGCTTCTGACCTTCTTCTTCCCCCTCTCTTCTCCTCATTGCTAATTTCTCCCGGGCCTCCGGATTGCTCGAGGGCCCGACCTGGACAACAACGGCGTCCGGATTAACCTCTCGAATCAGATACTCGGCGTCAAGGGCAGACCTTTCCGACAGATTCTGGGCCGAGAGGACGTAAATCACGGCACCAGACTCGGGCTCGCGGATCGCGTAGACGAAATGCCTCGTGCTCTCGGGGATCGGCAATTTCTTCACTATCGAATCAGATGCCCTCAGGTCGTCATAGGTAAACGCCGAGAAGGGCCATAGATTCTGCAACGCGGACCACATGACGGAATTTCCAGTCTTCCTATTGTTTTTGTTCGAATTTAATTTCTTAAATCGGCTAAAATTATTCACCGGCGATGTTCAGGGGCAGAAGTAAGAAGATTCATACGGTACACAGACGCAGTCACGCAAGCATACGAGCGCGCGAGCGCGTGTAGAGGGATAGGGTAGAGATTTGTAGATAGATATAGAGAAATTGGAAGGAATTGAGTACCTGATAGAGAGAGAAAACGGGTTTGAGCGAGGGTTTCCGATGGCGGTGGCGGTGGTGTGGTGGGAGGTTTTGGAGGAGAAGGTGAAGAAGTTGCTGAAAATCCGTGGCCGGCCGGTTGAGGATGGAAAGGGATAGAGATTAGTGTTGGCTTAAACCGGGTTTACCTTAAAGGTCATTCCAGTCCCCAGCCATGGCCCATACATTTCCCCATGAAGACTGCCTCTCTTCTAAGAACTCCCACTGATTCATTCTAATGCCCTATCAGTACTCAGATAGACAAATATTAACCAAATCCAACCAGTCATGCCATGCCCCTTTAATTCTACCTGAAAGCAGAACTCATTTCCTATCACAGTCCTCACTTCAGTGTTCACATCCCACATTACTAATAACCCACCTCTTGTCCCTGCAGGCTCCACCAGCTGCCATCTGTTCTCAAAACCCAACTTCCTACAGACGGTTCTTGTAAACTTAGAAGATTTCTTAGTTTCATATAGGAATATAATATTAGGGTGGTGGATTCTTCTTAAATCCTTGATCTGGGAAACTGTACAGGGCCCACCCAGCCCTCTACAGTTCCACACCATGGCCCTCATTGGTCACATTAGGGCCACTCAAGGCTGGCCTTCTCCACCTCTGCTTTTTCCTGGCATTTTTCCAATTTTTGTTTTTTGCATTTAGACAATTCATCATCACCCTCCATGACCTCCTTCCCCTTCCCACTGGCTTCTCTAATTCTCTTCTGTGACTGAATATCATGTTTGGCTTTGTCTTCCTCACATTGCCTCTTCAATCTGCCTGAGGTAGCAACCTTTCTCCTCCAAGTGGTTCCTTTAGTAGTCCTGACTTCCCTCTGATCACTACTCATTTGAATATTACCTTGTTCCTCTCTTTGAGTAGATTCTGCTTCCTTCATAGTCAAAACATTTTTGGTAGAACTCACCCTTACCACACTGGTTTGATCCTCTTGTTCTGGCTCTTCTTCAATAACAGCAAGGCACAACTGCATCTCTTCACCTCCCTTATCTTGTTCTACCTCCTTATCCTCCTCCAATATATCATGTATCTCCCCTCCTCTACCTTCCTCAGTCTCCATGTCTGGCCTCTGCACATTAGGTTGGGTGCTAGCCTCCACATTTGACCCAAATTTTGAGTTTTGATGTGGTCCACTAGTTCTTGCCCCTGAACTCCCAGAGAAACTATTCCTCCCCCCACCTGGCAAGTCATTTGCTTTGATCCATTCCCCATATTTCCCTTCTGCTAGGCTATTATTTTCAATATCTTGCAGCCTCCCTTGACATGTTCTATCCAAATGGCCTATTCTACCGCAGTAGTAGCACAAGTTTACCAACTTTTCATACTTGAAAACAACTCTCACCCTTTGATCTCCAAGCTTCACATTTGTGCATCTAGGCACCGGCTCTTTTAGATTAAGGATTACCAGTAGTTTGAGGTAACTTCCCAGATCCCCACCAGCTTTGCATATAGTCACATTTTTAACACTCTTAAACACTCCACCAATTTTCATTCCTACCTCTGTACACATCCAATTTAAAGGCACATTATATACCTGGACCTAGATGTTCAATTCTTCAAAGCAAACATGGTTCTTTGTTAGTCCTGGCATCCACTCCTGAAGTATGAGATACTGGTTCTCAAATAACCAGTTATGGCCTGCTGCTACCTTTCTCTTATCCTCGATAGAACTGAAGATGAACTGGAAAAAATTGGCACTGAGCTCCTTCACTTCCAATGTTTGTTGAATTCTCCATATTGCGCCCATTGCCCTCTTGATTCCCAGTAGGCCAGCCCGTCGATCTCCCACAACTTTCCCAAATAAACTCCGGCTACACTCTTCTTCACTTGATTTGATATCATCTACCCGGATTTCAATGTCACCAGCTTCTTTATCCGACAATGAGAACTTCTGCATCTTCGCCAAGACCTCCTCTCCTAACCCTTCCCCCGTACAAGCTTCCATCGCTTCCGAACGAAAACCCTAGCTTCAGTAACTGATTGACAGGGAGATTCACAGCAACACACTCGAACACACTCGAAACAGACAACCCTCACCCAAGGAAATAATGATCTCAAGGAGATAATCGCCCCATCCCAAAGAGATAATCGCCCACTCTCAAAGAGAGAATTCAAATCAAGTAGGTCAACTGAGACTGAAATTAATTTATGATATTGACAATGGAAAAGTAACTTGCGTTTTTTAAATAATACTTCATAGAATGTTATCTATTTATGTTATTTATTTTATATTAAAAAATATTTTACATGTTTATATTAACTCCGTAAAAGTATATTTATATATTTTATATAATTCATCATGGTAGAAACATGTATCAAATGTGATATTTTGAACTTAAGGAAAAAGATCCCTATCCGAAGTTCACATATATTATAATTTATTTGGCAATTACGTCCAATTACTTTTAGTTAACTGAATTTTATTTGTCATTATTCATACTTATAATTTTACTATTAATTGTACATTTTTCTCTTTTACTAATCCTTGTAATTATAGTTTTACTATTATAAGTATGTCAAATATAAAAGATATCTTAAGCAATCAACATTCATCTATTTGGTAATATGTCTTCGCATTTAATTTTTGTAAATGTTATCCATGGTTCTATTATAGAGTAATTTTTATATTATATTTGAGTTTATAAGTTTTTGTTTCTTTATAGAATTTGACTTTTCTAAATAAAAATATTATTTAAAATAGTTGTTAAATTTTACTTTAATGAAAGTCATCTTTTAACTAAACTATGTGTACAAATTTATAGATTCTTAGTATAATAAAAATAAAGTTTGATATTAGTTAACATTATTATTTTTTTAATCTGTTTATTATTGTGTTCAAATATTTTAATTCTAGCCATGAAATCTAAATATGAATAAAAGACCATGAAAACAAAATAATAATAATAATAATAATAATATGCTTTTTATATTTTAATAATTGATATTATGTCCATAAATTCATGTGCAAAAATACATATTTTATTTTCTTTAAATTTTATGTAATTATGTTATATCAACTTTTTTGGTTATGTCATGTAGTTATGTAATTAGAAATATGGAAATAATATACAATTAGAATGGTAACAAATTTATATTATAATACTTGTACTTAATACTGTATGTTCTGAAACTGAAGATAGTACTTCCCCTACTTTTTTTTATTTGTTTCACATAACATTTAGAAATATATTTTAATGCAATTCAATTTTATTGAAACAGTTTACATCTTCTTTATTCTTTTCTTCTTTATTGATAAGTTTATATTTTGTGTACCTATTTAAATCTATTTTGTTTAGGTTTTATTTTTGAAAGGATTTTGTTTTTGTTAAAATCCTATTTTATCAAGATATTTAATTGTGATTATAATTCATTGAGATACTTGATTGTTATTATGGTTTTGTCATTAAAAATAATATAAACATAAGGATTTTTTAATCATTTGGTTCCATTACACACTCAACATACAATAACATTAAATTACACTCGGCTGATATTTGCCTGAATAGATCAAGTATGAATACATACACCTACAGGCTACAGCCATGAACACAACTACTAATCAAATAGCATCACATATCAATTACCATGATGAATTTAGGAGAGAAAGTTCTTTTGCTTCAAGCTTTCAACTGTGTCCTTGAGGCTCACCTCAAGAGGCATGAAATCGAGACCCAAACTTTTCACTTTCTCTTGGGACACTTGGTAAGGGGGCTTGGCAGGTCGATTCTCTGTACTTCTGCAATATAACAAGGTATCTTGAGATTATAAACTGATTTTTTTTACAAACCTCTTAAGAACCTGTGCAACTCATATCAAGTATAGAAACCACATCCACAGGTTTTGGGTATTACCACCAAAAAACAAATCAGTAGAAAGAAAGTTCCAAAACTACAACTTCATAAGCAGCAATAAGTCATTCCAAAGTTACTTACATTCACAAAAATAATAAATTATACCCCTAAAATTCAGGGAGAGTTGAAACTCATGCAACTCTTAAATGTTGGATTCATTTTAACAAATTGCTTGAAACGAAAGCGTATTTTTCGTGCAATAAGTGACACAGGCAATAGAAGAGCTAACTCTAACAAAATAAAATCTTACGTTGGAGGAAGGTTGAGAGTCGGGAAAATTCTATTCAGTATGTCGATTGCTTCAAATGAATAAGTCACGCTACCCACCAAAAGGTATCGGCCCTGGGCAGATGAAATCTCAAATGCCAAAACATGTGCAAGAGCGACATCCCTCACGTCCACATATCTGTACACTCCATTAGGCCATAGTTGTTTTCCTGCACATAACATTTAAAAGGAGTATCGGCTTACTAAATACTAGATATGCATGCAAAATTCGCTCTATCTTTGGCTTTCTATTCCCTTTTCTTTTGAAGTATATTGAAAATTTTGTGATGATTTTTTCAAATATTTTTCATCATGGACTGCATACATACAAATGTTTCTTTTACATGTTTTTCTTTCATATTAGGATCAACTTGTGATGAATATTGTGTACGGCAGAATACCAATTTACCTTCTTTAATAAGATCCAGTAGAGCCTCAGAAGAAAAATTGAGAGTTGGCTGCAATAGAGGACCGATCACATAGCCTGGGTGTAAAGTAACTACGTCAAGGCCATTTTCTTCGGCGAATTTCCATGTAGCCTTCTCAGCTAATGTTTTTGAGAGAGCATAATATTCCTGAAAGTAGAGCATTTTTTTTTTAGTTATACAAAAATTGCTTAGTGTCTAAACAAACTAATTCCACAATGAAAACAACTGATCTAAAATAAGCATTTATAGGATTTCCTCTTTCTCTCTCTCTCTCTCTCTCTAAAAAAAAAGGAGCAAGTGATGAATGGCTCAGTATCAATTACCTCCTTTTCCATACAGAAGCTTGGATCCGAAACCCATGTTTCGTCAACCACGAGATCGGACTCTAGAGAATTAGAGTTGAACATGACAGAAGCCATGGAAGATGTTACAACTATTCTTTTCACCGTTGGTATTTTCTTGCATGATTGAAGTACATTAATTGTTCCCTTCACAGCTGGATCTATCAATTCTTTCTGAATTGTGAAAAAAGAAGAAGAGAGAAAGAGAGAGAGAGAGAGAGAGAGAGAGAGAGAGAGAGAGAACCCATTAGATTCAAGCTGGTCCACCTGTATGCACAAAACTCAAACACAAAGCTAAACACTTTCTTCAAGCATAACCACATTAGATACTGTTTGGGTAAATCGAACCAGAAATGTATAACCACGATTTTGCGAGATAATTCAGCATGAGTGCTCAACCTCTTGGACTCGGCCTTAGGAAAAAATTCAATTGTGAATATATGTACAAAAAAATAATAATTCAAATAGTAAACCTGTGGGTCGGTAACTTTAAGAAAAACGGGTGATGCTGTGTGAAAGACACCTTCACAGCCATCAATAACGGAATCAAATGATCCTTCCTCCAATAAGTCGGCTTCAAACAAATGTAATCTTTCGTGGGCTCCTTCGAGTGCCAGTAAATGTTGGACCCTTTTGGGATCACCTGAATTTGAAGTGTTTCGAATGTAAACGGAATAGGAATAAATAGGTCCATACAACATATATAGACTTAATGGCACCACAAAAGAAATATGTGTGTTGTGTGAACATTGAGCTTCATCTCAGCTATCATGTTCACCAGGTAGGATTCAGTTTTTCAAAAGACTGAAAGTTAAAGTACAAAAGAACCTGATCATAAAAATGGTTCCCAGCATATCAATAAATATCAAGGTTTTGAAAACCAAATAGATATATATTCAGCTACGGAAAAACAAGGATGATTGACTAATTTCTTTATTTTCTTCTTCCTTGTGAGCTATAAGATAAGTGGGTTATTTTTAATTTGGGAAAAAGGTAAGAAATGAGAACTTCAATATATAGGTTATTAGATTAAAAATTGCAAACTAAAAGAAATGGCGCAAAGGTTTAGGCTTTTAGCAGAGAGATAGAAATTGAAATTACACCGCCATTGACGGAATGGCAAAACTAGAATATATGTCGAGCCTCTGTGTGCGGGCGTGTGTGTGTGTGTGTGTGTGTGTGAGAATAGAGAGAGAGAGAGAGAGAGAGAGAGTACTGACGGAGGTTTCTGACGGTGGCTTTGACGGTGTAACCACGCTGAAGCAAGAGCTTAACCAGCCATGAAGCTATGAAGCCGGAAGCTCCTGTCACACACACTACCTTTACCATTTCATTTATTATTAGTTATTAAACTCTCTGTGTGCCCTCTGTGTGTATGAAATTGAGAATTTGAAGGGCTTTTGAAGTTCTCATAGGTGGTTGAAGTCTAGTCTTCTTTGACTTCAATGACTTGGACATTATTACGCAAGCGCTTGCGTCAACTATTTGAACATTGCATTCAATTTGAATTCTCACACTTTTTAGACCCACGTTTGTTTTTTTTTTTTTTCCAACGTCAACATTTCATTAAAACTCATAAAACGATTACAATCGAGACGTCAACTGACGTCAATAAGCTACTAGGATCAACACCTGATCCAAGCAGGAACCGAGTCAAGCCATATCATTGAGACTTGTCCTCTAATAGCAAAAGAGGCTAACCTACCACTATTATCAACATCTATACACTGTTTACTACAAAAATTACAGGATTCAAAAATATTACAAAGAAGATAGATGTCCTCGGCTATTACATGACTCTTCATAGGGAACACATCTCTCAATCTTAGTCTCCTCGCAATAGCCTCTGTATCTATAAAAAATTTTATCTTTTTCCACCCTGCTTGACTTGCATTCACCAAAGCCAGCCTTATTGCTTGGAGTTGTTCTTCCACTGGATCTTGTCCAAGTTCCCTGAATGAACACCAAGCTCTCAATATTTTTTCCTGATTTTCCATAGCATATCCACCAATCCCCATGCCCAGTGAGCTAGAAGTTTTGGCACTGATGAATATAGATATCCACCCTACCTCATTCCTGTCACCATCAGCATGCTTGGAATCAGCATTATAAATCACCTCCCTCTGCTTCTTCCATTGATCCTCTCTCTCACCACATGTGATGCTACCTTCAACATTCCAGAATTCCAGCCATTCATTCCAAGCCCATTGCAGAATTTGATAAGCACTCCACCAAACCTTCTTGAAATTCCAATTATTCCTAGCCTTTCAAATACCCCATACAATGAAAACAGATAGCTGAATTCTCTCCATTTTACATTTCTCACTCTCCACCTTCCAGATTTCATCCCACCATTCAACAAAGGATTCAACTTTTTTATCTAATATTTCCCAATAAAGAGGTGTCAGCTTCCACACAGTTCTTGCTCTATCACAATTAAATAATATATGTTCCACATCTTCAAATTCATTTCCGCATACCTGGCATATAGGATCTATATGCATTCCTCTTCTTTCCAGTTGCTTCCCTGTTGCAATTATCCCATGGCAGCATTTCCATACAAAGTGGCTTATTTTCTTTTTCATCTTCAACTTCCATATCCTCTTCCATCTGTATTCATGCCCCATTCTTGACTTGCTGGTTTCTGGAATATCTTCTTTGATGAGTTGAGCTCTCTGGTTGACATGATAAGCTGAATTAACAGTAAAAACACCATTAGTATTAAAATGCCAAATGAGTCTGTCTTTGTTACCACAAATACTAATAGGTGTCTTAAGTATTAAATCAGCTTCCTCAGTATTAAATGTATTAACAATCAATTCTCTGTTCCAGTTATACCCAGCTTCATCCATTAAGTCTCTCACCACCTTCAATGTTCTATCCCCACTACCTCCACTAGTAACAAAATTTTTTTTTTTCTCTTGGCAGCCAAGGAGAGTGCCAAATATCCACACATTGTCCATCCCCTATTTGCCATCTTAACCCTTTCAGTAATGTCTCTCTTGCCCCCAGCCAGCATTTCCATAGCCATGAGTCAGTTGCTTTAGCTTTAATCTCAAACAAACTCTGTCTGTGGAAGTACTTGCCTCTGAGAATCTTGCTCATCAAAAGATTAGGACATGTGATAATTCTCCACAGTTGTTTAGCTAAGAGAGCATTATTAAATATTATAAAGTCTTTAAAACCTAATCCACCCCAATCCTTAGGAAAAGCCATCTTTCTCCAGCTCATCCAGTGGATCTTTCCACTACTTCCTTCCCCCAGACTACCCCACCAAAAATTAAATGCTATTTTATATATATCTTTACAAATAGATACAGGGATTTTAAAACATGACATTGTATAAGTAGGTAAAGCATTAATATCTGCTTTCAAAAGAACTTCTTTTCCTGCTAGGCTCAAAAAATTATTCTTCCAACTCATTATTTTTTTCCTCACTGAGTCAAAGACAAATTTAAAAGTTTCCCTTTTCGATTTGCCAACTCCCATTGGAAGACCTAAATACTTGGAACTCAAGAATTCAGGAACTCCATTCAAAATGTTGCAAATCTCCCGTCTTAGGTTTTGAGGAGTGTTTTTGCTGAAGTAGATAGAGGACTTATCAAAATTTATAAGCTGACCTGAGGCTTGGCAAAATTTATAAATAATGTTCTGGAGGGTCAAAGCATTATGCCTGTCTGCTTTACAGAATATTAGGGAATCGTCTGCAAAGAAGAGGTGAGTAAGCACAGGAGAGTGTTTACTAATTTTAATACCTTGGATATCCTTTCTTAAATTTGCCTGAAAAAGAAGATTAGAGAAAACTTCAGACAAGACAATGAAAAGGTAAGGGGAAAGAGGGTCCCCTTGCCTTAGCCCTCTCGACGGCTTAATATAACCTTTAGCCACACCATTTAGAGAGAAAGAAAAAGAGGTAGTGCTTATACATGCCCAAATCCAGTTAATGAAATTGTTACTGAACCCCATTTTCCTCATAATAGCCAACAAAAAACCCCATTCTACCCGGTCGTAGGCTTTAGCCATATCAAGTTTTAAAGATAAAAAGTGCTTCTTTCCTTTTTTCAGATTATTTAGGTAATGAATACATTCATTGGCTATGACCGCATTATCCAAAATTTGTCTACCCGGGATAAAAGCAGACTGATTTTTACTTATACAAAAAGGAAGCACAGGCTTGATTCTGTTTGCTAGAATTTTAGAAATGATTTTGTACATAACATTACACAAACTTATCGGTCTGAAGTGGCCAAGAGTAAGGGGGTTTTGGATTTTAGGAATAAGAGCAATGAGAGTGTGATTACAGGCTCTAGGCATGATAGAATGAGCAAAAAAATAAGAGATAGCCGAAACAATATCTTTTTTAATAATATTCCAGTAGCAATGGAAAAAAAGGGAAGTCATACCGTCTAATCCCGGGGCTTTTTGAGGATTGAGGTCCCACAAAGCTGCTTTTATCTCTTGTTCAGTAACCTCTCTAGTCAGTTGAGCATTTGCATCCTGGGAGATAGAGGGATTAATTCCTGTAAGTAGACTGTAATCTGGTGGATTTCCTTGAGTCTGGTACAAACTTTCATAGAATCCTGTTAGCTCTTGAAGGATTTCTTGCTCAGTCACACACTCTGTCCCATCTTCTCTTATCAGTTTCTTGATGCTGTTTTGCTTTCTCCTCTGAATTGTGCAAGCATGGAAATACTTCGTGTTTTTATCTCCTTCTCTGAGCCACAAAATTCTAGCTTTTTGTTTCCAAAAAATTTCTTCCTGTTTGTAGGCATCGTCCATTTCTGCTTTCCAAAACTTCCATTGCTTTTTGTCTTTATTTTTCCCTTGCAGCTCCAGCAATTTCATGTTTTCCTTAGCCTTATTGATTCTGATCTCAGAGTTTTGTTTACTCTTCCCATTCCAATTCAGCAGACCCATTCTACAATTCCTTATTCTGTTCTGAATTTGCACCAAGGGATTTCCCATGACCCTCTTGCCCCAAGCCTGTTCAACAACCTCCTGGGAAGCTTCCATTTTAGCCCATCTGCTATCAAACATGAATCTTTTCTTCTTTTGAGTAACAGCCTTATTCCATTCCAAAAGAATCAGGTGATGATCAGAAGAGTACATAGATATGTGAGTCACCCCAGCATCCGGATTATTAAGATTCCAGTTAGAAGAAACCAGAATTCTATCCAGCCTTTCTTCAATATACTCCTCTCCCTCTCTGTTATTTGTCCATGTGAAAGGGCTACCTTCAAAAGGGAGGTCCACCAGGCCTAATTTATGAATAAAGTTCCTGAGCAAACTGAGGTTAGCATCTGATTTGGTCCTTCCTCCTCTCTTCTCATGATTCTCCACAATTTCATTAAAATCACCCCCGATTATCCTCTTCTTTCCCCAGGTTCCTTGTTTCCTTTCCAGCTCTTCAAATTGGAGTTTTCTAGTCTCAGCATCATTACTTGCGTACACAAACACCACCCAAAAGACATCAGAGTTGTTTTCAGCCTGGACACATACTTCCACATAGAAATCATGCAAAATAATCTGTTCTACCTTTGTTTCCTCAGCCCAAAAAACCAGTAGACCTCCTTTTTTCCCAACTGGATCCACTACTACCCATCTCTCTGCCACCTTAAGGTTTCTACATACAGTAGCAACGAAGCTTTTTTTCTTCTTGGTTTCAGATAAACAAACAATACCTGGGAGGTGGAGTCTCCAAAACTCCTTGAGTTGGGAAATTGTAGAGGGCCCTCCCAGACCTCTACAATTCCACATCCCAATCTTCATTTATCACTTGGGAGCCACTTCAGGCTGGCTGCCTCCACCTTTTGGATTGCAATCTCTTCTACTTCTTCCTTTCTCTGTTTTTTGGTATTTCTGTCATGGGAACCTTCACTCTCTTCTCTATCCTCCAGCCCTCTTTTGTTTCCTTGAAATCTATCTTCCCATAAAATTTCTTCCATCTGCACCATATTGTCTTCCCCAATTTCATTAATCTCCTCTCCATCCTCCTGACTGTGCTCATCTCTCCTTTTCTTCATGATTTGTTCCTCTTGCTTATTTGTTATATCCCACTCCATACCAGATTCTTCCCTTAGCTCATTGTTCCGAGTTGTGTCTTGTGGCTCTTTTTCTTTTCCGTTGTCTTTTTTCTCCTTCTCGACATCCTCTAGAATTCTCCCTTCTTCCCCTTCAATATTTCCCTTATGTTGATTTTGGGCATTCTTTTGTACCGGCTTATTAACATTCTGCGGATTCCAATAATTTGAGTTCCTCCAGTATGCAGCTCGTAGCCATTCTCCATATTCTCCCACTCTGAATTTGTCTGTTTTGAAGTCATTTCTCCTGTCTTCGCACACCCTGTCACTGTGACCAACCTTGCCACAATAAAAGCAGAACGTAAGCAGATTTTCATATTTAAACTCCACCCAACTCCTTTCTTCTCCCAGCTGTATATATGTTCCTCTAGGTAAGGGCTTATCAAGGTTTATAGCAACCCTTATTCTTACATATCTTCCTCTTGAACTACCTGTTTCTGGTATGATCACATCTGTTATCTTCTCAAACATTTTCCCTATCTTCCTTCCCGTTTCAATTGAGATCCAATGTAATGGCACCTTCCATATTTGAACCCAGAGTTCCACCTGATTGAAAGTTTTAATTTTTTCTTGTATCTGCGGTTCCCATTCTTCAAGTAAGAGGTACTGGTTTTCAAAAGACCACGGTTTTCCTTTCAGGACTCTGCTTTTATCTTCTTCGCACTTGAACACGAACTGAAACAAGTTGTTTCCCAATTCCTTGATACTAACCGGCTCTCTCGTTGTCCAGATCGATTCCAGCGTATTTTTCAGGCCAATGAAATTGATCTTCTTTTCCCCAAAGCTTCTCCCGAATAGGCTGAGCGAGCATTCTTCTATACCCCCTTTTACATCATCCTCCTCCAGCGCTATCCCTTTTTTTTCCGATTCCGATAAGTGAAATTTTCCCAGTTTCTCCGTTATGTCCTCCTCCATTCTCTATCACTCTGGAACCTCTCCCAGGATGATCTATCAACTTCAGTTTGGGCTAAGAACAAGAGACGTTTAGCAGATTCGCAGGTCCCAATCACAAAGCCAAACCCTAACAAGAGACAAAAGCGGAGAAGACGTCAAAAGAGAAGCAAAGGATGATCAAGACAGAAAGTCGAAGAAAGAGTAAAGAAACACAGAGAGCTAGGAAAGCCCTAGACAAGGAGATTTGCGTCCATAAGAAGTGGAACTTCAAGAACTCAGAATCCAGAGACTTCCACCCTCCACACACAGTGGAACTGTATTTTTTTTTAGACCCATGTTTGTGATAAGCATAAAATTTGGAAATATGTGAAGGTATATAATTTTTTTTAGAATTCTGCACAATAAAGTACTACTTCTTTAATATATTTTTCATAAGTGAGGTATAACAACACATATGTTAAATTTTCATGTTCTTAATATTCATAACACTTATATTTTAAAACGGAGAGGAAGGGAGTATAGCTATAAATCAAATGTGAATATTTTTTTTATAAAAAATAAAATAATTTAAAATAAAAATATGATATATAAAATTATATTATATTCAGAGATTTAATTTATATAGTTAATCATTACATCTTGTGCAATCAAACGAGCAGCTTGCTACTTAGTAAAACAAAATAGAATCGAAAAATGTTAGTTACTATTAAAATGTGAAATGGACAAAAGTTATTCAATAAAACAAATCTTAAATGAATTTTATTTACTAATAAAAATAATATGAAAGATGAATTTAATATTATATTGTATATTTTTGTATGTAATTATATATATATATATGTATATATATATATATATATATATTTGTACAAAGAGAAGAGGCTAAAACCTAAGACCATCAGGCAGTTATGTTCTGCGGGTAAGCCACGCCAATGAAGTCGTGCTGTAGCTCAACTATATTACCAATTTATGTAATAATATTAATCAAACCCGCAACTTCCGATGCCACGATGTGTTAGTCTGTCAAGTGATCAACTTAGCAAAATAAAATAGAATAATATATCTAAAATAATCTTTGTAAGTAAATATTTTATTTTAAACAAAGTATATTTATATATTACCAATAAATTATAGTATTTATTATTGTTATTATATTAACTTAACTTATATAATATATCATATATTATTAGGGCTGATATCGGTTCGGTAACCGAATCGATACCATAATATCGATATCAAACCGAACACTACCATAATACCGATATCAAACCGAACACTATCGGTTTCACTACTTTGCAAACCGAAACCGAACCGATAAACATTCGGTAACCGACTTTTCGATTACCGATCAAACGGTTCGGTTTCGGTTTAACTGATAATAAACCGAAAAAACCGAGGTTATTAACAGAGCAGNTAGGTGAAGGGGCCTAACCAGTAGTTTCTGGAAACTACAGAGTTCTATTTTGGATCTTATGGTACAACATGAAGTACCACTTGTCCATCGATGCTCAAATGAATGCATTGTACAGGAGAGCAATTGCTGAGCATATGAAAGCATTTGTCATCTAAAGAGTATTAATTAGAATCTATATCTATATCTATATATATATAAAGATATAAAGAGGTTGTTGGAAAAATACATTAATAGAAAGTTTGACCAAATAAACATAATGTTTGACTTAGTATTAATGGAAAGTTCAAAAAAACACATGTGAATCTTTAGTAACAAAATCTAAATCCTATTTTTTTGGTAACAAATTTGGAGATTCTTATGGCAAAATTTGAATCCCATATTTTTCGTATCATATTTTATTTTTTTACTAAAATTTAAATCATATCTTTTTGGTAACAAATTTGGAGATTCTTATGCAAAAAATGTGTCAATTATTTATGAAAACAATTCTAAATACAAATTAATTGAAAAGCCGTGCAAATTGGATACAAATTTAGGAAGAAAATAGTTGTATAATTCTTAACCAAGTCTAACAATCTTATTGAATAATTTTTTCTTTACAAAAATTATGTAAATTGGATAAAGTCACGTGCAATTTTTATTTTAAAATAAAACTGATATTTGGACGGGATGTACATTCAAAATTGTGTCCACATTTTTTGGTAACAAAAGAGGTTCATCATTGATATTTAAAGTCACCTTATCCAATTATTTAGGAAAAAATATGTGCAACTTTTCAAAATTTAAATGCATCGATTTTTTTGGATTTTTATGTTTTTTCTTAGCCCTTTTTTATCGAGATTTTGGTAAGTTCATATCATTTTTTTTTTGGTTAAGTTCATATCATTTTCTTTAGGAAAGAGACAGTTGCATAAATATTAACAATTTATTTTAATTTTTATTAGAATTATTTTTAATTCAATTTGTTTGGTACAAAAATTGGTGCAATGTTAGGAAAATTTGGTTGAATTTTAGGAAAAATTGATGATTTTTTTATTTGGTTTAAAAAAAATGGGATCAATTTGTTTGATAAAAAAATCGGTTTATTGGTAGGAAAATCGGTCACTTCCGGGACTAACTAATGATTCTTTTCAATTTTTGTTAATTGAAATTTAGAATTAGATTTAAAATAAATAATAGGTGAAAATCCCTAAAAAAATTTATTTTTTTTTTCTACTTTAATTTTGTTCAATAAATAAGATCCTTTAATTTTTTTTAAAATTTGGATAACTTCGAACATCTATGTAGTACTTTACGTGCCAAAGAATCAAATCAATAATGTTGTACATACGGAAGTGTTTAATATCTTTTCAAACATATAAATTTCATTTTCATGAAATTTTTAATGGCATGAGACAATTTAAATATAAAAATATCTTTTAAAAAATATATATAATAGTAAATGCTCCCGTGCATCGCACGGGCACCGTACTAGTATGAATAATAGAGTACCTTTAGTGCCTTGTGAAGGTGAGGCGATCTGAAGGTGAAGCGAACGGCAGATTGATGAACGAAGCCGTGAAACCGTGAAGGTGAGGCGATCTGAATTTCTGAAGTGAACTGATGATTGATGAACGAAGGAGGCGATTGAAACTTGAACGGGTACTCTTTTAAAAATATTATCCGTCCTTTTTTGATTTTCCTTAGATTAATTAAGTTTTAAGACCAAATTATTTTATTTAACTAATATAATATACCTTCAAAAACAGTATTTATATATATATATATATATATTGTTATCGGTTTGGTTCGATAAAACCGAACCCACATTTCGGTAACCGATTTTCGGTTACCGTTACACATGGTTTGGTTCGGTTTATTTTCACATCGGTTCGATTCGGTCTTCAGTTATCGGTCAAAAAATACCAGCCCTATATATTAGTAGGGGTGGTATCGGTTCGGTTACCGAACCGATAAGCGTAACCGATACCTCGGAATGCAAAACCGATTCGGTAACCGAAAACTCGGTTCGGTATCGGTTTTATACCCAAAAAACCGAACCGATTTTGAGCACAAAAAAAAAAATTGCTAGTGTTTACTTTTCTCATCATTTTTGTTATTTTTTTCACTTCTTACCAATTAAATACACACAAAAGACTCATAAGTCCATTGAAGGATTAAAAAGTTTAAATTTAATGTATAAAAAAAGTTAGTTTATATAATATTAGATTATGGTTTTTGTGGTAAACGCAACTAATAAAACAATATATTGCTAACATGCAAGAAATAAAATTTGTGATACAACTTCAACTAACTTATCTAGTAATGGTGGTACGAGAATAGACTACAGTAACGGTAGCATGCATCTTCTTTAGAAGAAGTGAGACTGGTAAACTAACAATGTTCCGATTAGAAGGTGAATAAAGCGATAAGTAATGTTATTTTTCTCATCATTTTCAGATTTAGGTAGGATTGAGCCCTTATTTCAATTTTTGAACACTAAACAACTAATCATTGCTTTAATATTTAAAAAAAAATCTTCGTTTTATTTTTTTTTTACCACTATCGGTTCGGTATCGGTTTTACTGAACTCTTATGGGTTCAAACCGATACCGTACCGATAGTGGGTTACCGTTACAAGCGATTCGGTACGGTTCGGTTTATTTTCTCCTCGGTTCGGTTTGGTTTCCGGTTTTCGATTAAAAAATGTCAGCCCTATATATTAGTGCTTGAGTAAGTGATCTAATGTAATTACTAATTAGTCACTGAACATCACTCTTATGAAAACTGATCGGCAGTATGTGGACATTTTTTTTTTCCCTTAAAAAGAGAAAAAATATAAAAAATATCCTTTTGAAGTTGAAAAAAATCTGTCTCACCAACTTCATCGCCTACAACAGTACAATGGTTCTGCTTTCTTCTTCAGTCTCAGGCAAAATCACTTCACTCTGTATATCCTCTCCATCTCTCTCTCTCACGAGAACTCATGCCAAACGTTCGCCGTTCCTTGCCTCCTTGAACGCTTCTTCATCTCCAGAATCGATGTCGGCTCCAAAAGCTGAAACTTTCAGCGTCTCCACCAAAGGATCGTCTCAAAACGCGGCCTTCGCTTCGACCTCGAATGCCCCTGAACTGCCTTACTCTTCTGATTTGTCAAATCCAAACGGAAACCTCTTCGTGCGGTTCGTACAGTCTACCGAGTCCACCATCGAGAGAGTAAGCCAAATTCTGAGCTATTGATCTTTTATCAATGATTAGGGATTCTTGTGTTATGAGTCCGTTTGTAGTTGATTTTTCATCAAGAAATTGGAATTTTGGGATTTGAGTAAAATATTAAGGGGTTGTCCGTTTGGAAGTGATAAATAAGTTGAATACTTCATTATTTTTAGAGACCTTTTGAAATCTCAAATGAATAGCTATAAGCCTTAAAAAATTTAAACACACCAATATTCTTAAAATCCCAAAGTCTTTAGGAATCCTAATGAATAATATTTTCTAGATTTTGTACAAGAACAGAAAAGGATGCTCCTTTTTGATAAACTTTTTTTATCATCAGCATATGCAATTTCACACTTCAAAATCAGTTTTTCTGAGTTCTAATGAGTAGGTCCATGGTGCAAAATCGTGCTACAAATTCCTTGTACTTGGAGACTTACTTTGTTTTCCTCCTGCATCTCCTAACTAGTTTTTGTTTGAACTACATGATCATATAATATAGATTGATGCTTGAGTAAACACATCAAAGCCTTTGTAAAATTCATGCCAAGGATCCTACAAAATGAACAAAAGAAAAAAAAAGGAATTTACATCAGCAATGCATGGATGAGGTTTGTCTAGTGGTGTTACTCCCCAAGCTCGATTTTAGTATCTGTAATATGTGGAGACAATAAAGGTGAAGTGGTTAATATTACATTTCTATTTACTAAAGTAGCAGTCCTGGAAAGTGCTAACAAAAGCATCAATCTTGTAAACTGATCCCACAGAAGATCGAATGTTGAGTGCATCAATCCTGGAAGCAAAATATCTGTGCTAGCAAATGGATTATATTTATCATTTATGTTTGAAAAACATGTTTTGAGATCTGATCTACTTGGTAAACCCTGTATAAGTGAAGGACTACAGGCTTACTTTTACGAATGCAGAGTTACTTGATCAAGTCTATTGATTTCTTGATCTTGCTAAAGAATTTTTGATTTTCTCTATTGATGCAGGTCATATTTGATTTTCGTTTTTTGGCACTTCTGGCAATTGGGGGTTCACTAGCTGGTTCTTTGCTGTGCTTTCTTAATGTAAATTCTCTTTCCTGGATTTCCATCATCCTTTACCTCACTCTCTTTTTAATGTGCATATTTAGTATGCCCTTCACTTTTATCATCGGTATAACACTTTCAGAATCAATATACAAAACAGAAAATTAGTTGACCTAAACCAGCATGATGCAGTTGTTAATTAAAAGTGCTACTATTGTAATCTCATTTGCACGAAATCTTTTCTTATTGTCAATTGGAATGACATTAAAGCCTGTGTAGGGATGTGTTTACATATTTGATGCATATAAAGTATATTGGTCAAGCTGTGTCAAAGGAATTCATACCGGGAAGATGGTTCTTCGACTGGTTGAAGCTATTGGTGAGTTTCTTTATGTAATTGGATTTGGCCATGTTCAGCCTCATGTATATTCTTGGTTGGTCTAATCTATGATCATTATCCTTAAGCAATCACATATTTAGTATTTATATATATAACCACGTTGCTTTGTTATTTGTTTGTCATTTTTTTATTTTTTTTTCCTGTGGGATGTTTAAATTTTTCCTCTGAATTCAGATGTATATCTTGCTGGGACTGTCATGTTAATATTTGGCATGGGCTTGTACGGATTGTTTATTTCAAATGTGCCTCCCAATGTACCCGCATCAATCGACCGTGCACTCAAGGGCTCTTCCTTATTTGGCATGTTTGCTCTGAAGGTATTTTCACCCTTTTCTGACAACTAGTACGTACCCCGTGCGATGCACGGGATAAAGATATTAAATGAGTTATTTTTACACCCTTGTCCCGTTTAAGTTTAAAAAATAATAGGGTTATTATCTATTTTCTATCTCTTTTAATCAACGTTAAGTTTAAAAAACAATTGGGTTATTATAAGTTTTTTTCCACATCTTTAACCAGCGTTTTTTTTAGCCAGAACATTAAATATGAGCATGTTAAGGCTAGTTTGTAATTAATATGTTATCTCACTAAAATATTTATACTAATAAAAATTTAATTTTAACATATAAATTTATCTCTTGATATAAAAGAAAGTAACAGTTTTACTTATTATTGTTCAGTATATAGTATTTAATTATTGTTTTATTATATAATAAAAATAAATATTGTTAAATAGTGTAGTAGATTTGTTATAAAATTATATGAATTATTTTTTTTACAATATGAATTTAATATCTTTAAAAGATTTGATAATATAACTATAATATATTTTAATGATATAATAATATGAGATACAAATTTACATAATACTATGGATTTATTCCTTAATGTTAAGATATTGAATTAGGTAATATATGATTCACTAATTTGTAACCTGTGTCTTTTTATATTGAAAATAATCATGTGATTGAGTAGAGATAACAATTATCTATAAATTCCATCATTTAAGGAATAATTTTTAAATTGGTTTAAGTGTTGAATACAGTCCGATTTTCTTGTAACTAAAATGAGAAGAGATTTTGAATTTCAAATTTTTACTTCAAAACCACACGTATATTTGAATGCAGATTTTATTAAAAATAAAATGAGAAGAGATTTTGAATGTCATATTCACTTTAATATCTGTCGAAATTTTCAAAAATGAATTCAGCAAAACCCATAATTTTAGGGGCATTTTGATGCTACCCTATTTTACGATTTAAAATATCTAAAACTATCTAAATAAGGTGTGCAATTAATTATTTTAAAAGATGAACCGCTTTTGTTATCAAAAAATGTGGGCACAATTTTGAATGTACATCCCTTCCAAATATCAGTTTTATTAAAATAAAAATTGCACGTGGTTTTAACCAATTTACACACTTTTTTTGAAAGAAAAAAATTATTCATTAAGATTGGAAGAATTGGTTATAAATTATACAACTATTTATTTCGTAAATTTGTATCCAATTTGCACGGCTTTTAAATTGATTTGTATTTAGAATTGTTTTCATAAATAATTGACACATTTTTTGCATAAGAATCTCTAAATTTGTTACTAAAAAAGATATGATATAAATTTTGGTAAAAAAATAAAACTGATACTAAAAAAATGGGATTCAAATGTTGCTATAAGAATCTCCAAATTTGTTACCGAAAAAATAAGATTCACATTTTGTTTCTAAAGATTTACATGTGTTTTTTCGAACTTTCCATTAATAGTAAGTCAAACATTATATTTATTTGGTCAAACTTTCTATTAATGTATTTTCCCAACAACCTCTTTATATATATATAGATTCTTAAATTCGAATACAGAAAATATCTGCGAAATCTCACATTTAATCAATTTGTAAACCTTTCATTCATGCCTTAGAGGGCTGCAAACGAGTCGAGCGGCTCATGAGCCGCTCTAGCTCAAGTCGAGCTCGAGCACTTCAATCAAGCAAACGAATCGAGCCTCGAGCATCACTTTAAGAGGCTCATAAGCTCGACGAGCCGCTCGACTTTTTATTTACATATATTCTCCATATAGTATAATTGTATTAGAACACACACTAAGGGCATAATTGTCTATTTATATTAAAAGTAAAACCTTTATATTTAAAATTTAGTTGTTAAAATTTCGAGCCATGTTTCGCATCGAGTCGATCTCAAGCATTTTTATTTTTTTCACGAGTCGAGTCGAGCAACGTTTTACATGGCTCGTCGAGCTCGATCAGTGAAGAAACAAGTTCGATTTGCGCTCGACAAGGTGTATGCTCGACTCGTTTGCAGCCTACGACTTAGACCTAAAAGCCAATATCAAGAAAATTTTAATATCTGTTTATTTTGTGCATATTCTTTCTTGATCGTGTGGTTATAATTTTTTTTTTCAAGTAAATTCTTCTTCACATACACAATTGCAGGAGAGACCAAAGTGGATGAAGATCAGTTCATTGGATGAGCTAAAGACAAAAGTGGGACACGTTATTGTGATGATCCTTCTTGTAAAGATGTTTGAGAGGAGCAAAATGGTGACAATAACGACAGGTCTGGACTTATTGAGCTATTCGATTTGTATATTCTTGTCCTCGGCTTCCTTGTACATTCTACACAACCTGCACAAATCGGAATCAGATTAGGATCACACATCAAGTGACTTTCGGTTTGCACATTGAGATGAAAGTGTGTGTATATATGTAGTTATGAACTCGTGGTTTTGATGTTTTTGTCTCTATTGTGTAGTCAAAATGGTTTTTATGTGTACCGTAATTTACAGTGGGGCGTCTCGTCTCACGGCATTTGTACACTTCAGAAATCTTTATATATATATATATATATATAGAAGTGCGCTCAAATGAGAATGAATCACAGTGAAAGAAATGAGAATAAATTTGGACCATTTGATTAATCATATTAATGGTTGTGATGAAGTCAAACTATGGTCAATCATTAATGACAACTTGATAATTATTTAATCATATTGTGGTCAAATATGTGCATTTGACCAATAATTAAGGGTAAGATAGTATATACCTATATATCACATGGGACCCACTCATTAAATCACCAACCACTTTCTCTCTCCTCACTCTCTCTCTCTCTCGTTCCTCACGGTTTCTCTCTCTCTCACCCACAGTCCCACACACTAAACAGAGCTGCACACACACACACACACACACACTTTGCACACACACACACACCACGGCGACTGCCACTAGGAGTTCCGCCGGAGCGAGATCTCACACCTGCTGTCATACATCATCCGCCGCCGCAATATCCGCCTCCGACGCCGCCGACCGGCAAGACCACCATGCCGTCGAGCACCATGACGGGTTCGGCGTTCACGGCCGCCTCTGGCAGGCAGACAGCCGCAGTCCGGCGCGGCCATTATGCCGTCGAGCGCCACGGCGGGTTC